TTTCCATTGCCTTCAGTTGTTTGAGAGAAGATTGCTGATGTCTTCTAAGGAATCCTCTTCTTTACTTTCCAGTAGATGAAGCAATTAGTTGCTAGCAGCAGACTTGTATTTGAATGGCTTTTTATTTTCCATTGCCTTCAGTTGTTTGAGAGAAGATTGCTGATGTTTTCTAAGACATCCTCTTCTTTACTTTCCAGTAGGTGAAGCTACTAGTTGCTAGCAGCAGACTTGTATTTGAATGGCTGGGGTAAGATACAAGGAGTTGAGGAATAACCATTAACATACATGCATAAAGGGAAGAAGCCCATATTTACATATTTTACATATTGGTTCTATTAATAGAGAGAAAATTGCTATAATGTAAAAAATGTAAACTATAGCAATGCATTTCTTCATTTGTAAAAATCTTTGCAAGCTTTCAGATTATTACAATCCCTTCCGTATGGATCCGAAAGCTTGCAAAGATTTTTATGAATAAAGAAACACATTGCTATCGTTTACATTTTTTACATTTATATTGGTTATATGCTCAATATATGCAGCATACTAAATTGCATACTTGATCCCTGTGGTAAAAAGTTTAATGTGTAGTCAAAAAATTATTAGAACCATTCATTTGATCAAAGATATAATAGAACCTCCATGAGAGGATACTCATGCTAGTGGACATCTCTCTACAAAAGATAGTTTTTATCTCACCAAAATTACAATTTTTATTAACTAGCAACTTTCCGGGTGAGGAGAACACCTCTCTCTAAGGACACTTGGTTCTACAACTAGCTGCCTTTTACAGGGAGGTTTTGCTGTATCAACTTATAATATGATTTTTGGTATTGGGACCATTGTCTTCAAGTTTCTTTAAGATATTCCGAGTATTTATTATAAGTTAATATATTTATTCAATAGGATATAATATTTAAACTTAGGTTCTCTAGTAATTTTTTATAGCAGATATATATTTTTGAATAACCTCTAAATTAAGCATATTTGGATGTTTATATATTCTTAAGACACCCAAATGTGAATTTGCAGCTTATTACATATCTCCCACAATGATTTTACCATGTTTATATATCTTTACATAGTAAAAACCTGTGTTAATTTGAAACCCTGTTGTATATGGCCAAAACCACACGAATCTGTAGCTACCTAAATATGTGCACTTAAACCTATGTTAACCCTTTAGGTATTGTGAAATTATTCCAGGGATATACTGCTCAGACTGAGATAAATTTAGGAAAATGCTTATTTTTAAATATATATATGTATACAGAGTAAAATCTTAAACACAAAGCAATAAGACCAAATCCGAATAAATAAATAGTGTGTGATGTTTTAGTAACAGCGTTGTTACCATCTTCAGACAAAAGTAATACTTACTTTTATATTATACATACTTTTGTCTGAAGATGGTAACAACACTGTTACTGAAACATCACACAATATTTATTTATTTGAATTTGGTCTTATTACCTTGTGTTTATAATATATAATCCAAATTGTGCCTTATCAGAGTAAAATCTTGATAAAATAATTCTGGGGTATAGCAAACCTTCCCTTAAAATAAACCTAAAATGAAACCCAATATCAATAATACACCATAGAGTGAAACCGTGGCTGTAGCGAACCATTAGGGTTCATTACAGCCAGGTTTTACTCTATGGTGTATTATTGATTACTGAATATATAAAGTATTTTTAATGTGAATATTTGCTGATAAAATGGGGGTCGGTGGAAGGCTGGTTAAACCGTTTGGTTTTCGACCACTACGACCCGGGTTCGATACCCGCATTAGACACTTTTTTCTGATTAAAAAAAAAAATGCTCCAATGTCCCCCGATTCTTGCAAAAGTCCAACCCCGCCAGCGAGTGCAAGTAACCAAACGGGGCTCTGGCACATTTTTAAGTGCAAATCGAACTGCTTTTCACATGTGTAGACACTGGTGCGCTTACAGTAAAAGCAGTCGTTAACTACCCACCATGATTATCATGGCCTGTACCACGTGTACTAGGGATAAGCAAAAAAAAAAAAAAAAACTGATAAAATGTCTTCAGAATGTCCCTATCCACCTATGACCTTGGGGAATTACATCATCAACATCAGAGGCTCAATATTTGGAGGAAGAAAATGTATGTGGGCAACAGCTGCTGGGAGAAAATTATGTCAGCAGCATTGAAAGGGTTAAGAGACGGCCACTACTTTGTTATTTGACCTTGATCCCCTGATTGGATATTCAAAAGACAAGATTAACTGTATATTTTTACCACAAAATACCAATAAAATGTAATATAATAAACACAGCGCATATTAGATTTTTAAAATACAGTAGAACCTCCATGAGAGGACATTCGTGCTAGAGAAAACCTCTCTACAAAGGACAGTTTTAATTTGTAAAATTATCATTTTTCATCATTTAGCAATTCTCCAGTAAGAGGACACCTCTATCGAAAGGACACATTGGCACTTCAACTAGCTGTCCTCTACAGGGAGATTCTAATGTATAATAATTTATTAAACTAAATGTATTTTAATATGATTGAGGATGTGGTTTTTTCTAGCCAATTTTTTTTTATGCGCTTGATAAATAAATAATTTTTCAATCCAACATGTCTTTATTTTATAAATATTCAATTATGGATGGCTCTATTTTCAAAATAGCTTCATTATGGCAAAGATGCACATGTTAAAAAATCAGAGTTACACAAAGAGGGAGAGAAAGAACAGACAGGAAGAGGGTTAAGAAATTTGAATTCCAATGTGATTAGAAACCTTGGAGAGTTACCTAACACCCTGATTGTAGGTAGTCAGCCCCCAATCTATCCTAGCTTCCAGATACAATAAAATAAGACGTAATCCAAATATTTGGATTAGGTCTTATTTTCTTGTATAGAAATACACACCACACACACAACACTATTTAATGATTACCACACTTATAAGAAATCTAACCATATATTTTTTAAGAGAGAAAAGGTTTCTTTTCTATGTTTAGAGAAAGAGAGCAAACTCATTTTTGTGGGTCAAGGTCAGGTGGCATTCCCCAATAACCCACATTTATAAAACAAGTTATTTAAATGGTCCTGGCAGGCCATACAGCTGTTGAGAGAGACACCCACAGACAGTGAAAGAAGGAAGGCATGTCTGAGACAGTGGAGAAAGCATGTCTCAGACAGTGTAGGAAGACATGTCTCAGACAGTGGAGAAGGCATGTCTCAGACAATTAGAAGGCATGTCTCAGACAGTGTAGAAGACATGTCTCAGACAGTGTAGAAGGCATGTTTCAGACACTGTAGAAGACATGTCTCAGACAGTGGAGAAGGCATGTCTCAGACAATTAGAAGGCATGTCTCAGACAGTGTAGAAGACATGTCTCAGACAGTGTAGAAGGCATGTTTCAGACAGTGATTTAATTGATTTAGTGATTTATTTGATATAGTGATTTATTTAATTTATGATTTAGAGCAAATTAGTAATGATTAGATTTTATAATTTGGCAGACTTCAGACAGTGTAGAAGACATGTCTCAGACAGTGTAGAAGACATGTCTCAGACAGTGTAGAAGACATGTCTCAGACAGTGTAGAAGACATGTCTCAGACGGTGTAGAAGACATGTCTCAGACAGTGTAGAAGGCATGTCTCAGACAGTGAAGAAAGCATGTCTCAGACAGTGAAGAAAGCATGTCTCAGACAGTGAAGAAAGCATGTCTCAGACACTGAAGAAGACATGTCTCAGACAGTGAAGAAAGCATGTCTCAGACACTGAAGAAGACATGTCTCAGACAGTGTAGAAAGCTATGTCTCAGACAGTGAAGAAAGCATGTCTCAGACAGTGAAGAAAGCATGTCTCAGACACTGTAGAAGACATGTCTCAGACAGTGAAGAAAGCATGTCTCAGACAGTAAAGAAAGCATGTCTCAGACAGTGAAGAAGGCATGTCTCAGACAGTGTAGAAGACATGTCTCAGACAGTGAAGAAAGCATGTCTCAGACAGTGAAGAAAGCATGTCTCAGACACTGTAGAAGACATGTCTCAGACAGTGAAGAAAGCATGTCTCAGACAGTAAAGAAAGCATGTCTCAGACAGTGTAGAAGGCATGTCTTAGACAGTGTAGAAGACATGTCTCAGACAGTGAAGAAAGCTATGAAGAAAGGAGGCATCTGAGATAGATAGCTGTTACGCCAGATATCCTGACGCAACTTTATCTCTTCCTGACTGTGATATGACACCACTGTCAATGTTACATGGCATTGCTTCATCCTCTACTTTCATTCTTCATTAAAACACAAGCCTTTTATTAACTACTAGACGAATGGCCCGGGCAACGCCCGGGTTTTACCCGAGTGCGCATATACTTTAAAAACGTTTTAATTCAAATACTATTCGTTACAATTATAAATTGGCGCCATGGATGTCACTCTTGTGAAACGTCCTGTTCCAAACTGTGTGTTTTTAAAATGTTTTAATTAAAATACTATTCGTTACAATTATAAATTGGCGCCGTGGATGTCTCTCTTGTGAAACGTCCCGCCCCAAACTGTGTGTGTCTTGAAAATATAAAAATAAAAATGTGAATTTTCATAAAGATTTCATCATGTCGATTTTTTTTTTTGCATTTCACCTACTAAATCGATAGAGATAATTACATTTGCAACATGAACTTAGGTATATTGACTAAATAGAAAACTGCATAGTAATAAAGATCATTTTTTAAAGGCACCATATCGTTTTTTTTTTTTCAATAAAATCGAAACAAAAATTAACGATAAATAACGATAATTGCCTTAAAAAGAAATTGCCTTAAAAAAAAGAAACATTCGCGGTGATTTTGTCTTGCATTCGTTTATACAATTATTATATACGAATGACCCGGGCAACGCCCGGGTTTTACCCGATTAAATGCTTTTATTCAAATACTATTTGTTACAATTATAAATTGGTGCCGTGGATGTCATTTCTTGTATAATATATAAATGAGTTTTAAAAATTGTAAAAAAAAAATGCATCGGCCGGGAATCGAACCCGGGCCGCCCGTGTGGCAGGCGAGCATTCTACCACTGAACCACCGATGGTTATGAAAAATCCCATCCGTGAGCTTCAAACAGACAGAATAAGGCAAATATATAAGTAGATATTATATACGAATGACCCGGGCAACGCCCGGGTTTTACCCGATTAAATGCTTTTATTCAAATACTATTCGTTACAATTATAAATTGGCGCCGTGGATGTCATTCTTGTATAATATATAAATGAGTTTTAAAAATTGTAAAAAAAAAAAAAAAAAAATGCATCGGCCGGGAATCGAACCCGGGCCGCCCGCGTGGCAGGCGAGCATTCTACCACTGAACCACCGATGGTTATGAAAAATCCCATCCGTGAGCTTCAAACAGACAAACAGACAGAATAAGGCAAATATATAAGTAGATTTTTTCACATTGCATATTACAGTAGAACCTATCTGTAAAATATACCTAATTGCAAAGTTAAAGTGTCCTTTAGGGAGAGATGTCCTCATACCGGAGAGTTTCTAAATGGTAAAATGGTAATTTTGAAAATGAAAACTGCCATTTGTAGAGAGATGTCCTCTAGCATGAGTGTCCTCTCATGGAGGTTCTACTGTAATGGCATTTGTCTCCTTCTGACCTAAATGATTGCCATTAGCCCAGGTGAACACCCAAATTCTATCACATTTACTCCATAAGTTATTATTTCCCCTTTACCATACCACAAATACTATTATAATTTTAAATGCCATATCATAAAAATTTGTAATAATATGTTACTTTTGGCAAACAACCCCCTAAAATGTCTTCTTTAGTAAATGCAGGGTATATAAGAAAAATAATCCAATACAATAGTAGAGCGATCTGGAGATTAATTTGGCAAAATCACTGAGAGGATTCGCCATTGATATGCCAAGCCCTCTCATTTAATAATTTTTATCAGTAAGAAGGTCTGTAGAAAATATTTGATAATAAATATTATAAGAAACAATGCAAAAAAATATTACAAATTTTAATACCAAATACTGTAAAACCTTGCTATAGCAAACCCCAATGGGACTGAACACCTGTTCACTCTAGCCATGGTTATAATGGTAATTATTTTAGATTTGTTATAAGGGAAGGTTCCCTATAACTCTCCGGTTTGTTCAGGCAAGGCTTGCAGTATGCTCATTAAAGTAATTGCTAAATCGTTCTTCACTCTTTAAAGTGGTTGTTACTACTGGTATCCAATCAGGTTGGATTTGAATAGCTTTAGTTTATGTATTTTGTCTAATGTTGCTCTTTCAATTTTATAATAAAATTATATTAAACTTCATAAGGTAACAAGACCCTGTCTAAATGAATAAATTATACAGTGTTGTTACCATCTTCAGGCAAAAGTGACAGCTCTGTTATAGAAGTGTCACATATAATGTAAATTATTTTAATGTTACCTTATGTTTTTAATTTACAATCCAAATTGTACTCTATCATTTGTATATGGTCTTGTTACCTTGTGTTTCTAATCTAGAATCCAAATGGTACCTATCATTTGGATATAGTCTTGTTACCTTGTGTTTCTAATCTACAATCCAAATGGTACCTATCATTTGGATATGGTCTTGTTACCTTGGGTTTCTAATCTACAATCCAAATGGTACCTTATCATTTGGATGTGGTCTTGTTACCTTGTGTTTCTAATCACATCAAAATGGTACCTTTTTATTTGGATGTGGTCTTGTTACCTTGTGTTTCTAATCTACAATCCAAATGGTACCTTATCATTTGGATGTAGTCTTGTTACCTTGGGTTTCTAATCTACAATCCAAATGGTACCTTATCATTTGGATGTGGTCTTGTTACCTTGTGTTTCTAATCTACAACCCAAATGGTACCTTATAATTTGGATGTGGTCTTGTTACCTTGTGTTTCTAATCTACAATCCAAATGGTACCTTATCATTTGGATGTAGTCTTGTTACCTTGGGTTTCTAATCTACAATCCAAATGGTACCTTATCATTTGGATGTGGTCTTGTTACCTTGTGTTTCTAATCTACAACCCAAATGGTACCTTATAATTTGGATGTGGTCTTGTTACCTTGTGTTTCTAATCTACAATCCAAATGGTACCTTATCATTTGGATGTAGTCTTGTTACCTTGTATTTCTAATCTACAATCCAAATGGTACCTTATCATATGGATGTGGTCTTGTTACCTTGTGTTTCTAATCTACAATCCAAATGGTACCTTATCATTTGGATGTAGTCTTGTTACCTTGTATTTCTAATCTACAATCCAAATGGTACCTTATCATATGGATGTGGTCTTGTTACCTTGTGTTTCTAATCTACAATCCAAATGGTACCTTATCATTTGGATGTAGTCTTGTTACCTTGTGTTTCTAATCTACAATCCAAATGGTACCTTATCATTTGGATGTAGTCTTGTTACCTTGTGTTTCTAATCTACAATCCAAATGGTACCTTATCATATGGATGTGGTCTTGTTACCTTGTGTTTCTAATCTACAAACCAAATGGTACCTTATCATTTGGATGTGGTCTTGTTACCTTGTGTTTCTAATCTACAATCCAAATGGTACCTTATCATATGGATGTGGTCTTGTTACCTTGTGTTTCTAATCTACAATCCAAATGGTACCTTATCATATGGATGTGGTCTTGTTACCTTGTGTTTCTAATCTACAAACCAAATGGTACCTATCATTTGGATGTGGTCTTGTTACCTTGTGTTTCTAATCTACAATCCAAATGGTACCTTATCATATGGATGTGGTCTTGTTACCTTGTGTTTCTAATCTACAAACCAAATGGTACCTTATCATATGGATGTGGTCTTGTTACCTTGTGTTTCTAATCTACAATCCACAAATGGTAATGATTTGGATATGGTCTTGTTACCTTGTGTTTCTAATCTACAAACCAAATGGTACCTTATCATATGGATGTGGTCTTGTTACCTTGTGTTTCTAATCTACAAACCAAATGGTACCTATCATTTGGATGTGGTCTTGTTACCTTGTGTTTCTAATCTACAATCCAAATGGTACCTTATCATATGGATGTGGTCTTGTTACCTTGTGTTTCTAATCTACAAACCAAATGGTACCTTATCATATGGATGTGGTCTTGTTACCTTGTGTTTCTAATCTACAATCCACAAATGGTAATGATTTGGATATGGTCTTGTTACCTTGTGTTTCTAATCTACAAACCAAATGGTACCTTATCATATGGATGTGGTCTTGTTACCTTGTGTTTCTAATCTACAAACCAAATGGTACCTTATGCAGTATATTGGATGATACATGTCTTTGTTTGTTCCCAGGTGAAGGAAGAAGTCCAGAAGGAACTTCTAGACTACAATGGCATTGGCATTTCTGTAATGGGTACGTACTGGGACTCTACAACTTGTTATTCCTATCAGGATTTCTCCAAGACATGCCTCTGTAGAAGGGAGTATGAATACCATTATGTTGGCTGTACATTGCATTAAACATCATGGCTCCTTCAATTTCCTAAACAGCTGATGCTCTTCCCTGGATTCATCCAATTTTACATATGTTTGGATGTACTCATTTAATGTTATTTATTTAGTTGCTTTTTATGTGGAAAATATATTTTATTTCTTAAACCTACACTTCAAAATCTCTTTCAGCTCTTTTAGAAATTTTTAAATAAGTTTGTTAACACAGTAGAAACCTCCCTTTAGCAGACACCTCTCTACAAAGGACAGTTTTCATTTGAAAAATTACCATTTTTAGTATCTAGAAACTCTTCAGTAAGAGGACACCTCTCCCTAAAGGACACTTTGGCTCTGCAATTAGGTGACCTTTACAGGGAGGTAGTTCTAATGTATATAAAAAAAGTAAAATCTAAAATATAGGTCTTCAATATACAGTGAAAGATAATTACAAAGACCTCTTTTATAACAGCAACTTGGTTATACCATGATAATTCTAAGGTCCAAAGTGTAAAGCCCCAATTGTTTTAACTGTGGTTATCATTCAACTGCATGTTATAGAGATTGCTCAATTTCCTTGAAAATTAATTTTATGTATTTCTACAAGAAAATAAGATCTAATCCAAAAATAGAGGAGAGCATCAGATCCTGAACTCTTTAAAATAGAATCTTCAAGTGATGGGGCTTAGCATCAACATTGATATTCATTTTCTTCAGCTCATAGAGAGCTATTGTAGCTATAATCCAAATTGTGCTTTATCATTTATGTAAGTCTCTTATTACCTTGTGTTTCTAATCTATAATCCAAATTCCACCTTATCATTTATTTAAGTTTTGTTTGGGTGGGGAGAAAAAAAAGGTCAAGGTGAGGCCTGCTATTTTTAATCAACTCAAAAAATAACATGAAGGAGGGGGAGAATGTTATATATTTATATAGGTTACCCAGTAGGAGCCGCTTACAGAAGTCCCCAACTGTCCTTCTGAGCTAAGTTTTCTTGGTATTATTTACCATGCCAGTGGTAGTCTAATTCATGAGGTGGCATCAGGGAGAGTGTTATATACGTATGTACAGTAGAACCTCCATGAGAAGACACTCGCGCTAGAAAACACCTCTCTACAAAGGACAGTTTTCATTTTCAAAATTACCATTTTTACTATCTAGAAACTCTCTGCTAAGAGGAAACCTCTCTCTAATGGACACTTTGGCTCTGCAATTAGGTGTCCTTCATAGGGAGGTTCTACTGTATATTTTTGGTCTGTCTTTCAATGAAGTTTTACTCTCCATGGCTATCTTTCATTTCATTGCCGCCACGTGAACATCTTCCTCTATCTGTTCTCCACCCCTGATTGGTTATCAACAGATTTGTTGGCTGGCCAATCACGTCACCAACCTTGAAACCACTTATCAGGTCAACTCAACAAAAAAAAAAGATAAGAGAAAATTTCTTCATTTGAACTTTTTTTTTTCAATATTTCAGAATGTTCTGATTGTCTCATATGTCTTTATCAATTTATTTATGCAAATACAGTAGAACCTCCCTGTAAAGGACACCTAATTGCAGAGCCAAAGTGTCTTTTAGGGAGAGGTGTCCTCTTACCG